TGTTTTCTATATTATGTGTTCTCTGTAAGTGTTTGTATGTATTTCGTTAGTGTGCCTTTTAAAATAAAATAAAATAAAATAAACCAATTGAATGATATATATCTCTGACGGCAACTAATTTCCCTCCAGGTATAATGCAACGTTTTCAGTAAATACTGTAATCTTAATTAAGCACTTACTGAGTTGCTAATTAAAGGATCGACATTTTGCATCGGCTGCCAGGACATCCCGATCAGAATTCTATCCAAAAAAGGCTTAAATCTCATCCGTGAAGGCTGGTACATTACTTCTGATATTGGTAGTGTTTCTACCACATCACTGGATTGAGGGATCCTAGAATGTTAATGCGATGTTTTGAATATCAGATCTATAAAAATGATTTGTTTAGGCTTAAAACCATTCTCTAATTAATGTTTCTTATTATATTTTATTTTGTTTTATGTACTCTCAAACATCACACTGAGGTATGAATGTAACTGAGGTTACACTCGTTGTTAATCATTTTACTGAAAGTAGGCTTCCAACTATTCTTAAAGTAGCTGCTGTAGTCTCTGGCAGAATGACCAGCGCTGTGTACCAGTCTGCCAAGCCAGGGCCAACAACCACAGCAGACACGCATTACACACTTGAAAGGAACCGAAAGGGAAAAGAGAATTTTTGAAGTTATACTTCTTTAGGCGCGTTATGAAAAATTGATGAGAGTGAAATTTTACGATGCGCGCGCACCGTGACACAAAATTAACAGAATGAAGTTGCCCACGGAAGATGCTATGGCATTGGACATAATTTAAAAACAACATTCGAATAAAAATAGAATTTATGTTACACTTAATGTAAGAGAATAATAATAAATATTTATTTATTTAATTTTTCAAATGTAAACTGAACTTTATTGACTATAAAGACTCCTTTTCCAGTCTTTGATTATTTAATTGTAATTAATTAATTGCATGCAATCAAAAACTATTTTTAATAATGCCAAAGAAGTATAACTTCTTACGCGCGTACCTAAGTACCCGCACCCTTTTTTTCGTTATCTCTCATTATATTTTATTCCTTGATTATTGTTATAATGTGTATTTATGTGTGTGTGTGTGTGTTTTTTTGTTAGTAATAAATGTTATGTCTATGTTTATTCCAAATGAAAAGAATATTTCCTCAAACTAACTTGGATTTATCTAAATAATTGTTAAGTTACATTTAAATAAATTAATTATATACTTACATTATATTACCATCTACAGTAGAGTGCCCAAATCTCATGGCTGCAGCAGCAAACTCTGCTGTTGTTGAAGGGTTGACAGTTGGATTATATCCTGAGGAGTAACCCTTTGGCGATGACATTTTGAATAACCTCATGATTTTCGGGCCTGCAATTTTTTATAAGTTTTCTATATATTTGTAGATATAATTGTCACTTTGCGCTTACATTCGGCATTTTACTGATAGAATTTCATCATTTATACTTAACAATAGCTAGGTAAAATATAAATGTTTTAGAAGAAACCACTTTACAATACAATAAGAGTGTATCTTTACCACCAGTGTATTAATAAGATTACCTAAGAGTAACGGCAACCATTCGTTATAGACAATATTCTGGAATTCAGCTTGCACTATTCTTCTGGCTTCGTTGAAGACCCGCTCATCATCCCATTCGGAGTTTATAAGAGAGAGGGCTCGAGCTATTCTATTATGTTCGCGAAGGAATAAGGTATGCATCACCGTTAGAGAAATTATTTGATTTCCTCGGTTATCACCTGAAAGATTTAAAACGTCAAATTTTGATTTAAACCAAAATAATAGCTTAATCGGTTAAAAGTGTATTTTTGTATGCTTTATACGGTACTGGCCAAGTACGAATACCGATGGACGCAAAGGGTGACATGGCCAAAACCAATAAGTACCAAAAATGAAATTAATCTTACTATTATTAAAACACAAGCACGAACGTATGACAAGCTCTTAGACTTGCTTCTGTTCCCAAAAAATATAAAATCGGTAAGGGAGTGCGATAGTTAAGTGTTTAAGTATTACGTAACGCAATTTTCGGAGAATTTTGACCCCCCTACATATAACCGCCGCCGCCGTAACGTTTTTCTGTACCAAATAGTAAAACGTTTCGTCCACGTCGACCACCCAGTGACTCTTTATACCTAAAAGTATATATGATATAAAGTACTGGAAAGTCGAAAATAATATTAACAATAACGCGTAATTTAATGACCACATCGTAAAGTTTTACAAGAGGAATCCCAGAAAATTCGTTACATAATGCTTGAACGCTCGCTAATGAGATGGCTGAGCATGTCACCGCTAATGGTATTCACATATCTAACCTGAATCAAAACAAGCAGCTCCATGCTTTTCAATTAAACACTCTTTTCTATTAGTGAGAGGTGGTAATGTTCTTCCAAAATCGTGGAATGATTTGAGCCGACCCCCTGCAACCTTCAACTCTTGTAGCTTCTTTAATGAACTTCCGTACAGCGGAGATAAATCTATGTAATGGGTTGCACCATTCATCTGAAAGTATATATTACAACTCACGCAACATATAATTATATGCATTTGTTTTTGCTGCACTATTCTATTTCAGTCTATTATAATGCGATGGCTTATTTTTCCTCATTCAGAATTTCATCATTTATAAAATCCGACCCCGAGTCTGTCTGCCTATTAACGTGATAAACTCAAAACTACGGATTTTTGTATGGTTTAACAATAGGTGAGGAAGGTTTGAGTGTTTAATTTAGAATACTTTTATGTATATTGACTGAAATATATCGATAATTGCTGAAGAGGTCGCACAAAAACCTTGCCAAAATTATAACGCCCTATTAAAAAAACGACAGAATGACTATACTCGTGAACGGGTGCTATTTGTGGTGACTGGTCGTACTTGAATTCGTGTATGCGGTGATGTTATTTGTTTCGACTATGTATTTGCGTGTTGTTCCCACGGGAATGTAAGTGCGTGCTCCTATTTCACCATGCCACCTGCTGATAGAGGACAAATCTTTGTTTTTAATTTATTTAATTATTATTTATTTCTTAGGATGTCATGTAATTGTGAAAACGGTGTAATTGTTGCAGCTCCTTACAAACGTTGTGTAAAACAAAAAACTTGGCAATTAAAAAGAGTGGCGGAGAGTTTATTGCCAGTTCGTCTCTTCCGTTCTACAAGAATAATTTGAGAACTGACAGTTAATGTTAATTTAATAGCATTTCATGTATAGTTCTTTTTTGACGTTCATAAGTGTACATTGTGTAATGAATGAATAAATAATTTTTGACTTTGACAAGTTGAATTAAAATACAGGTGGGAGATATCTACCAAGAGGTGAACCTTTTCAAACACACATTTTCATTCAAATCTTGGGGTTTACGGGACTGGGGCCTGATTCATTAAATTATTTTTAATGTATTCTTCACGCCACGTTGACCATGAGTCACAAAGAACATACCTGAGAAAAATAGAACTCGGGCAAGAAAATAGATTCAGTCTAGAAGCACTTATAGTGAAACAGACTGAAAGAATCGACCAACACATTTCACAACTCAGCACAATGATGAACCTCATTATGACAATCATCAGTAGGCTTCCACAATGATGTCGTTACGTATCGCTACCTGGGATATCAATGGCCTAACGCCAAATAAAAAAGAATTAGAAATAATGTTAAAACATAACAAAATCGACATTGGTCTAATATCTGAAACCCACCTAAATGACCGTAAGAATATTAAGATAGACAACTATGACGTATATTATACTAATCATCCCGATACCACATCACACGGAGGATCAGCAGTCATTGTAAAGAGTAACATCGGACACCACCTCCATAGCGAGTTTCGGGAAGAATGGATGCAAGCCACTACCATCACTATAAATGCAAGCATGGGCCCCATCAATTTAAGCGCTGTATATTGTCCACCAAAGCATAAACCGAAACAACACATGTTTGACCGCTATTTTCAGAGCTTGGGAAACAGCTACATAAGTGGTGGGGACTGGAACTGTAAACACACTCATTGGGGATCAAGATTGACAAATAGCAAAGGACGTGAGTTGAAAAAATGTGTCGATAAAAACAAACTTATTACACTGGGAACAGGTAAACCAACTTATTGGCCAACAGATGTCAACAGAATACCCGACCTAGTGGACTTTTTTGTGGTGAAGGGACTGTCTGATGTGTATTTTGACGTGGCATCATCGTCTGATGGTGGGTCTGACCACACCCCTATCATAGCAACATTTAGCGTTTCCGCTATACATAGAGCACAGAGACTGGCGCTATATAATCATAAAACAGACTGGGACGCATTTGCTGAATACTTAGAAGATGAAGTTGAGCTAAAGGTTAAGCTCAAGACAGAAGAAGATATAGATGAGGCAACATTCTACATCACGAATCTCATACAAGTAGCTGCGTGGCGTGCCACCCCGACACTGAGCTCTTCCAATCAATTAGGTAACATACCACTGGAAATACGCAACAAGCTGGAAGAAAAACGGAGACAAAGAAGGCGATTACACACCAGCAGATCAGATGTAGACAGGTCGGAATTCAATAGAATATCTAGAGAACTAAAAGAGTTAATTAAAGAAAATCAAAACAGTGACCAGCAGTTATCACTACCGCTAAAACTTGTCACTCCACAATAATTAATGCGCACAATAAGCTATCTGGAAAATAAAAAGGCTCCTGGTTTCGACCTAATAACGGGTGAAATCCTTAAAAAACTACCTAGAAAAGCAATAGTACTTTTAACAATGTTATTCAATGCCATTTTTAGAATACAGTACTACCCAAAGCTTTGGAAGATATCACAAATAATTATGATTGTAAAGCTAGGGAAACCCCCAACAGAACCTAGCTCATACAGGCCTATAAGTCTTCTCCCAACAATATCTAAGGTTTTTGAAAAAACTTTTCTGCGGAGACTAAAACCAGTCCTGGACCAAAACAGAATTATACCCGATCACCAATTTGAACCAAATGCTACTGTAGAACAAGTACACCAAGTGGTTCACAAAATAAGACAATCGCTAGAGAAAAAAGAATATTGTTCAGCAGTATTCATAGATATTCAGCAGGCATTCGATAGAGTTTGGCACAAAGGATTGTTGTACAAGCTGAAAACCCTCCTACCAAACTCATTCTATATGATCCTAAAATCTTATCTAGATCAAAGAAGATTCCAAGTATGAGGAAGAACTTTCAAGGCTCTATTACATCACTGCCTCAGTTCCACAAGGAACAGTGCTTGGCCCAGTCCTTTATTCAATATATACGGCAGACTTGCGTGAAACAGAAAATATCGTAACAGCAACATACGCAGAAGACACTGCATGCCTTGCAAGCGATGTGAACGCGAATAACGCTTCACTGAAACTACAGGAACAGCTCAATAAGGTGAACGTGTGGCTGCAGAGGTGGAGAATCAAGCCTAGCATAACTAAATCAATACAAGTAAAATTTACACTGCGAAAGGGCGACTGTCCACCTGTGCATATAGAAGACAAACCGTTACCAAGCAAAAACAGCGTGAAATATCTCGGACTACATCTGGACAGAAGACTGACCTGGGCTAATCATATAAAACCCAAGAAAACAGAAGCCACCTTGAAATTCAAAGAGCTATCCTGGCTTCTAGGCCAGCAATCTAGGCTGACCCTGAGTAACAAATTGCTTGTTTACAAGGCCATCATACAACCAGTGTGGACATATGGAATAGAACTCTGGGGCTGTGCAAGCAATTCTAACATTGAAATCCTCCAAAGATTTCAAAACATTGCACTGAGAACTATTTCATGTGCACACTGGTTTGTGAGAAACACGGAAATACACGAATATCTGGAGATGCCAACCGTAAAGGAAGTAATCCGCAAAAACAGTAGTAGATACAGGGAAAGGTTAACCAAACATACAAATGAACTGGCTAAGAATCTGTTAACCCCAGGAGATGATGTAACTCGCCTAAAAAGATGGCAAATACTAGACCTAGACCAGAGAAACTGACCTACAATAAAAATCCAGTTTCTACCAACACTTACGGTGCCTTTCAATGGAATCGCACCCAACCAAAATTAACCTCAGAAAATATCTGATTATGGCTGATAGCCGATTGCAGATGAACAAGAACACAAAAAAAAAATTATTCTTCACACCAACCTGATACTTCCTTTTGCCGGGAATCAAATGTAGACCTCAAAGGACACCTCAGTAGTATTAGCAAATACAGAAAAACAGCTGTTTTAAATGCAAATGACACATAAAATTACGTCGATCATAAACATACCTGCTTAGCATATCCAACCGAACAATCGGCTGACGGCGCAAGTTGAGTTCGCACAAAGTTCATACAACGCTTGTTAAATTGTCCGTAGAAAGTGTCTTTAGGGCTCACGTCGATACCTTCGCATGCCCAGTGTTGGTGTTCGATCGGGAGGTGGGTACCGTCAGCTAAGCAGCACGAGAGAGCGGTGCCATTTGCTAAAAGGTAATTGTAATATAATTATATACGTACTTAGATAAAACCTATTTATCCGTTTATGTGATATGATTTTTAGTAACAGAAATTTACACAAAAAGGGTGTCAATTATAAATTAATAAAGCAGTATCGTAATATTTATGAACATCTCTCCATTTCGGAAATATTCAGACATATACAATACAATATACTAGAATGAAACGTTGTCAAGAGATACAAGGTTATGTAACTACCACCAGAGAGTTCGTTCGCGTAGTATTCATTTCTCGCTTCCTCTCAAAGTGGCGAAGACTCCTTCAAGCCCTTAATTATCGTGGTGAGCTTGCCCGATAGCTTTGATATAATCCCACCACCTTGAACCTTTGATCCCATAGGGTTCAGTCTGCTACCGTAGGTCTCTTGGTGCAGACATCCCGTAGTTATTTATATATTCACTATTTCTGTACAGATACTCCTGACATTTCATATATATAAATTTAACAACACATTTCACAGTCCACAGGCTGGCAAACTGAATAGTTGGATTGAAAGCTATATTTAATATTTGATGTTTAACTTATCTTATACTTAGACATAGAAAGAAAATATTTTAGGTTAATCTTCTCTCATCCTTGAGGTCGTAGGTTCGATCAACATTCGCTCGAACGGTGAAGGAAAACATTGTGAAGCAGCCGGCTTGCCTTAGACCCAAAAGGTCGACGGCGTGTGTCAAGCACGGATGGCTGATCCAGATTGACAAATGATTAGTAATTTATATTCTTAATGATAGTTACCCGTAGAAAAAAGTACTCCAGCGCTCACGTCATAAGCAAGAAATTGTCCGAACTGCATAAACAACAAATTGTGTGACCGGCTGGGATGACTTCCGTCAACAAGAAGAGTGGAGCTGACATCTCTAGCGCTGGGCAATGGTGAACCGGTGATAGACAGACGAAATGCCCAAACACCTAGAAAATCAATACATTTAAATACGTACATAATCAATAGCAAGCAGCTCAGACCAATGAACGGTGCACCGGTTCCGAGTTTCGGTAATCATGGTCCCTTGATGGCAAGTAAGATTTTTTCTACTCCCTTACCAACGCAAACAAGTTGTGATTATAGTCCGAAAAGCTATCCAAAATCTCACAAATCATCATCATCAATCATCGATCATCTTAGAACTACCCATCGTTGGAAAACAGGTATAAAACTTACTCCGTATAAAATCCCACATACACAAGCTCACGAACATACCATTACACAACACGACCGAATTAGGTATTACTTATTATTGATGTTTTCTTTTCGTACATCCTTTTTGTATATATAAATATATATATATTTCATTTTTGGCTATATCTTTAGTACAGATACCGGCAAACTTCTTGAGCATTAAACAAGGGAGTGGGGGAAAGTTTGCGCAGCGCGGGACACAAACGCCAACTGATTTACCAATCACGCTATCGACACGTCACTCTACCGCCGCCGCCCCCCCCTCCCAATGATACCTAAAAATCGCTTCTGCGCGGCAAGGACATTTGTTGAAGATGTTTGCCGGTATCTGTATAATAGGTAGATAAACCTCTATACCATCTCTATAATCAGGTGGTAATATTCTCTCGTAGCCAGTCTGTGCTGCTCCCCAACTTGGCTGCTGTTTGTTGTTACAATTGCCATCAATCCTCCTGTATTTACTTGCCACAGCTGGACAGGTCGGTGGCAGTGGACAAAATGGACCTGGAATGGATAGAATATATCTGATACAGTGCACTAATAGTCTTCTTGTGTTGAGATACATGCATATATATTGCAATATTCTTAGTATGGTTTCAATACTCATTGTATGTGTTGGGCACAGACTCGGATGAACTTAATTGTAACAAAAATATATAGTAAAACTAGCTGCCCCCGCGAACTTCGTTTCTCCTTAATGTGATTTTACGTACCCTACCATTTAATTATATACCAACATGGAACATTTTGCTATGCTACCCCGTTAGATTTTCCGAAATGAGTTCAAGTCATAAGTTTTAAATTAACAAATAAAAAATAGGGTTGTATGTATTTTTATATGTTGTATCATAAAAAATAAAAATATAAAATTTTATTCAAAAAATAAAAATGTTTTTTTGGGGTGGACACCCCTTATCACTTAGTTTAAATATAGATAGTAGCCGATACTCAGACTTACTGAATATGCATAAAAAAATGCATAAGAATCGGTCGAGCCGTTTCGGAGGAATATGGGAACGAACATATATTATGTGACACGAGAATTTTATATATATAAAGATGTAATGGCATATGTTATAGTGAATAATATATTATTTTGTAAACTGTTTCATATAATCCCGTAAAACTTTTTACTCAATTCCGAGACGTTTAAGTATGTTTATTTTAAGACATAGGACTGATACATAACAGCCGACGTCTTATTAACCATTTTACAGGAAGGGAGGAAGATACAGAATGTACTTGAAAAAGGGCAGGTTAAATATGTATGTATGGTGTACATGACGACCGGGGCAAGTAGAATACCTTCGTGTATGCGAAAGAGGCGTGACTTATATCAATAAATTCTCCTAGAGCCTACTGATCCGAAACTTATTATTTCACCTGGACAGGCTTCGGCATTATACACTGTATGCGTGTTCATTCAATGTAAATTTAAAAGGGGCGTGTACTTATGTACGCGCGTAAAAAGATAATCCCTTCCCTTTTTTAAAAAAAAATTTTTTTTTTTCTCCCCCCCCCCTTTTTTTTTTTTTCCCCCCCCAAAAAAAAAAACCCCTCTTTTTTTTTTTTTTTTTTCCCCCTCCCCCCCCCCCCCCTTTTTTTTTCCCCCTCCCCCTTTTTCCCCTTTAAAAAAAAAAAAAAAAAATTTTTTTTTTTATAAAAAAAATTTTTTTTTTTTTCCCCCCCCCCACCCCCAAAAAAAAAAAAAAACACACACACCCCCCCCCCCCCCCCCCCCCCCCCCCCCGGGTGGGGGGGGCGCCCCCCCCCCCCCCCAAAAAAATTTTTTTTTTTTTTTTTTTTTTTTTCTCCCGGGGGGGTTCCCCTTTGATTATAATTCAAAAACTAAACATTGAAAAATAATTAAAATCCTTTATTTGTTTAAAAGTAAATGACAAATGTCATTAGCCATTCAAAATTGTTGGCCACGAAATTCACGATACTTTAGATTTCTATTCCCATCTCGCTCGCGCTTTCCCTTTCTCCCTCCCCCCCCCCCACGCTATAATCACACTCCAAATTTTGTGTACCGGATTTAACCCTCATAAATTTTCATAACGCGCCTAAAGAAGTATAACTTCAAAAATATGCGAAAACTAACATTATAATTAATGTATGTATGATTTAATATTTGCTCACATTTAGATAAGATTTCTATTACGCTTATGTACTTACCGTCTATATTCCCTGTGAATGCCAACGCAAGGTCTGACTCCGTTATAGCCAGACGCGTTCGCAATTCCTGCGCAGCGAAGACATTCATCAGCCCACCGTGTCCCAGTTCATTAATCTCTTTGTTTGTTGCCTGGAGAAAAGTAATTTTCCTATTACAATGTATTAAATTATTATGTATTTAACATACATGCTGGCTGTACCCTAGCCTTGGTTATTTTTTATTATATGTGTATATTACTTTACCGTGCATAATAAAACCGGTCCCTCAGTGTATTAAACTAGTACACAAAATATTTACCACGTGATGATGAATAGATTCCTGGTTTATCTCAATATTGCTTTTTGCTAGAAGCTCTGCTCTCTTAATCCAGCTATCAAGTCTCTGTTTGGAGATGTTGTGAACAGCTTTAATGTCTTCCTTACTGATTTCGGGTATTATTTCCATCTCAGCTGTGAAACATTGTGAAAAATATAAATTTAGATCAATGTAATATTTTGACGTGTTGGTGGTACATTGTCTTAATTATATATATATATGACTTATGATATATATTATCAACATTATTTTGGAAACCATGACTACATGATAAATAAATGATATTTGTGCCGTTTTCTGTAGTATATACGAGTACATTAAAATTGCGTACACGCAATATTCATATTATTTCTATTCTATCCTTACAAAATCTTTGTTTTTCAATGTATCAATAGTGCTATATTAAAGTTAAGAGCTGCAATTGTAATCAACACTTTGCTGTACACAAGACAAACGTAAATATTTTCACTTTAATATTATTATGCATTTGCTAATACGTACGGTGTAATAAAATTGAAAACAATATAACAATATGCAAACAATCTAGACTATTATATAAAATACAATTTTCTTGTAGGCGTATGGTGTTTCTATTTAGATCTACGAACCGTATTTATAATTCGACACATTTATTGATTAGTATAATCATGAAAATCTTTTTATTAATAAGTATCGCAATACAGCGACGAAATGCTGCCAGCGTTAAAGATACACTGCCAAACTTTCAAATTCGTTTTAATTTTCTATTCATCAATTTATAATTATTTATATTACTATTAATATATAGGTTAAGAATATGATTATAATAAGGCATTGTAAACGATTTTGTTGTTCGATATTTTAATATTGTGAAGAATATTAGCTTTGCATTAATAAATTTTATGAGTGTCATAGCCAATTATGATTTATTTGTGATTAATACAATTGTAATATAAAATATATAAAATGTTTAACACTATTAAATGAGTAAAATGATTTTAGTTGTCAGCCTCCATTAAACAAATAAACACCTAGATTAATTGAAAAGGCTACTGTTAGTCTCAACCGATATATCAAGCGTCCAACTCAACTAAAAGCGTTTATTACTGCAATTTTTCTATAGATAGGATATATGTAGTCACAATTTTAATTTTCTGCAGTAAAACTACTCGTAGCCATTATGGTTAATATGATTTTTTTTTTTTTTAAAGACAATTCACACCAATTGACCTAGTCCCATGCTAAGCTGGTGAAGCTTGTGTTATGGGTACTAGGCAACGGATATACATACATATTATAGATAGATAGACATATTTAATATTTAACCACCTAACACAACACCAAATGCTCATCACATCGATGTTCGTCTACCGATCGAACCCACCGCAGGGGATTCGCAGTCAGGGGTACTAACCACTAGACCAATGAGTCGTCAAAGTGATAGATGAGTCAAAGAAACAGAAACCAAATCGGTGTTACTTAAAGACAAATGAAACTATCTTTGGTCCTAATAGGCCTAAACTGTCTTTCTTTCTTAGTACCTGCATGACTATATCCAGTGAAACAACATATGCCAATGTGCTGTTTATCTATATGACACCGAGGATTGTATGCTCCGGGAAGTATGTGCGCGGGACATTGGATTTTTGGGACGCAAACGCCTCTTCTGGGACAAACTGCGCAAGGCGGTTCTATTGTGTGTTTGTGCTCTGAAATGTTTATCTCAGTTAAGTTAAAGAGATGTTAGAGTATATCATTCATTTGGTTAAAGCAAATTCAAAACGATCTTACATATTAATTTAATTAATTAATTTAAATGATTATATAATCATATCATAAAGTAATAGTCTAATAATAAGTTTTTTATAACGTGGTTGAAAAGGGTAGAAATTTCCCGATTAGTAAGCTTTCTCGTTTGTTAGCTCGGTCCTTCATTCTAGCTTAGAAGTAGATAATTTTTATTAAAAATTGGATGTAAAGTTACGTTTTAAAATCTGATGAATAAAAGTAACCTTCATACACATAACAGATTAGATTTAAGTCATAGCCAAATCAGTAATCGGTTACTTATTAGTTTAATTAAGTTTTAGTCTGAAAACTTACTTGTTAACACTCAGTATTATCAAGGTAATGTGTCTTTTCGTCAAATAAGAAGCACAAAAAATTATTATTACTATAGTTCAATGGTAGAAAACAGTTTTTTTTTTTCAATAAATCCACACATACTACTACAAATATATGGGCCTGGCAGTTTAATAGTATGTTTTAGTACAAAACCATGATTCTTACCTTGTTTGGGGATCCCAT